GAAAATTGGGAGAACTGTAATTGAACAACAATGAAAAAGTAGACTTTAATAAAGCAGCTCTTTGACACACAACACAGTAATGTTTCCTTGGATCTTTCTCAATAGCTCGTGTCACCCTTTGCTCTTGGAGATGTTACAAAACTGTCGTGGACGCGTTCCAGCGTCTAGTTTTACAACTTTGTTGCTTAGAAGTGCAACTGCGTGTTGGCTCGCTGATGTTCAAATCTTTGGAGGAGTTTAGGAGGAAAAGATTAAAGTAACTATGAAACCACAAACTATGTACAAAATGTATCATGGACTTTATAATATTCTGAGTTTTGTTTTGGCCTCATACAGCTTGAGGCAGTGGTATCTAGAAGAGGCTGTTGTTTGTGCTTAAAGCTGCTTTGTAGAAAAACTCCCATTTTCAAATGTTCTGTGGGTCATAACATGATTGTTCTGAGCCTGGACGGGCTGGCAGGCTGGTTTTCCAGGTGATTCAGGTTGGGACTGGGGGCTGGACCAGCAGCTCCAAGTCCCGTTCAGGCAGGGAAAGGGCTAGCCAGGGTCAGCGCAGGGACTGAACACCGCAGAGCTCCAGGTCCTCACTGATTCCTCATCTGCCTCCCTAACTTCAAGTTACAGAAACAAGTCCTAAGAGCTTGTCTTCTGCCTTGTTTTTTTTTGTTGTTGTTGTTTGTTTCATCCTAAAGAGTTCACATTCCAATGACCTTCTGGTCCTCCAGTTGCTTATGAGTTCCAGGTGGCGCTGAGCAGGGAACACAGCGTTGTGAGGCTGACCGGGGCAGGAGGCCGTGGAATTCTGTTGACGGCAAGGACCTGTCACGCTGCTGGACTTCCTGTGTCTGTTCTGGGGTGCCCCCCTGCGCCTGGTGCATTGTTGCTGCCCCTCCTTGCACCAGCAGGTCCAGCTTCACATGCACAGGGTGAGCTCTGTCAAGCCAGATGCCATCCCTCATAGCTCCTGTCTTTGGCCAAATGGTAAGAGGACTTCATACACCGTCTGGATTGAATTAAAAGTCCTGAACTCAGCGTTCCAACCTCAGACATCTGGGCCTGGAGGAGGAATGCAAGCAGAGCCGCCAAATGCCTGGGTTAAAGGTGCTGGCCACGAACCTGCTGTTTAGTCTTAATCAGAAAACCATACAATTAAGGACAACATGAATTAAAGTCTGCATCTTGTAGCCTGCGCTCTGCCATCCTGCCAGGCCTCACGTGCAGGGGAGGGGTCGTCTGGCCCACTTTCACCCATGTGTGTAGCCTGGAGGTGTCAGCTCCTCCAGACCCTTTAATTCCTGTTCAAATTCCGATCTCAGCTTGGCTTGGAATTCAAAGTCAGTTCTGTTCTGAGCATGAAGATTATGAAAACGCCCTTTCAGAGAGGGCCCCAGAGTTCATTGAGTTGGGAAACTTGTACAAGACACGTGCACTGTGTTCAGAGGCCTCAGCCCTGGGCTGGGGGTCAGCACATCCGAGCTCCAACTCTGCTAGAGTCGTTTGCCAGGGCTGCCAAACGAAGCACCACAAACCGAGCAGCTTAAACAACAGAAATGTGCTGTCTCACTGCTCTGGACACTAGGAGTCCGAGATCAAAGTGTTGGCAGGTTGGTTCCTCCTGCGGGCTGTGAGGGAAAGTCTGTGTCAGGTCTCTCCCCTGACTCTTGGTGGTTTGCTGGTAATCTTGGTCCAGTCTTTGGCTGCAATCCTTGGCTTGTAAAAGCATCCCTCCAACCTCTGCCTTCAGGTTCACATGCAGTTCTCCCTGTGTGCATGCCTGTGTCCAGATTTCCTCTCTAAGCAGGACACCAGACACGTTGGATTAGGGCCCACCCTAAGGGGGGTCATCTTCACTTAACCCGTTACACCTACAATGACCCTATTTCCAAATAAGGTCAAGTTCTGTGGAACTGGGGGTTATGGTTTCAACCCATAGCACCACCCTATCTCTTGGCTTTCAGGTGAGGGGTGAATACTTCTGAACTGCATTTTCTCCTTCTCGTGATATGGCTGATCTTTAAGGCTCCTTCCAGTTCTTAAGCTCAGTGATTATCAATGTCTACAGAGTATGATCTATTTTGTTTACTTTTTTAACAGTTTTTGAGTGATTCTTTCTATTGAATGTCATATTTTAAAACTGTAGGTCCAGGCTTTAAGAAACTTATTTTCTGCCTTTGATCATAGTTACTTGTGTAGTGATATTAAACATACTTAATGACCATTGTATCCAGGCCCTGAGTAATCAGTGACCATTGGCCATTATGGCTTCGCTGGGACACGCTGGAGTGTACCGGCTGAGTCCTCAACCCGGGCTCCTTCTGCATTTGCCTTAGCTCTCCATTTAGACATAATGTACAGGGTCTGGCCGAAGTAAAGCCTGCTTGAGTGTGGTTGGTAGAGTGACAATATAGGTGTCATAATTTATAGTTTTAATTTGAACATTTCACCTAAAATGTCATATGGGGTGCTTGAATGTGATATTGTTATGTTACAGAAGTACATGCTTATGATTTTGTAATAAAAGATTTTGTAATAAAAATGGGGCATCATTTGTCCTGTATTTCTTCCAAAATTTTTTTCTTATTTTAAAATAAATATGTAATCATTACTGAACATTTTAAGGAATAAAATAAAATAACCTTAAATATGATTTCTTAGTAATACATTTTGTTATCAAAGCAGGTTTTATGTCTATCTTTTGTTTTTGATATTTTATCCTAGATATTATTGTGTGCCATTACATACTCTTAAAAACATGATTCTATTTTTCAAAATACTGTATTCCATAGATGTGTTATTTCCATTTTCAGTTTCATAAATCGCCCTGCCTTCCATGCAACGACGGTGAGTGCACCGCATTTCCTCGTCACTCACGTCCTGATGGCTTCCCCAGCAGACGTCCTTCACGTGGAATCACCGCTCCAAGGCTTACACAGAGTTTTATCATTACTTTGAACACTCACCTGAGGACGTGTTCATTGATTTTAGAGAGAGAGGAAGCAGGGAGAGAGAGAAACAGTGATGGGAGAGGGAAACACCAATTGGTTGTTTCCCGTACACATCCCAACTGGGAATCAAACCTGCAACCTGCAGCCCAGGCACGGCCCCGACCAGGAATTGGACCCGCGACCTTTCATGCATGGGATGACTCTCCAGCCGCTGAGTCCCCTCTCCAGGGCTACACATATTTTTAATAAATGTTGTCAAACTGCCCTCAAGAAAAGTGGTGATGATGAATAGTTCCACTGGCAGCATCTGAAAATATTTTTATTTACTATAGTAATGTTTGCTCTTTTCTTACAGATTTGTAAGTGCTCTTGTTCTATTTAAGAGATTAGATCTCTTTTTAGCAAATGTTGAAAACTGCACTTCAAACTTTTTAAAGTAAAAGTCTATATATTATTAAATATGTATCTCTCATAATATCAAGTTCTGTGACTTGTGCCAAGTAGCACCCAATCAATATCTGAAGAATGTAAAGAAATTACTTCTGCCATTAAAAAGCATATATTACAGTCAAAGAAATATAAACAAGTGCAAAAGGCAAATGAAATAAATTCTATAATGGTGGCACTGGATAAATGCTGTGGAATCGAAGAGGAAATTGTGATCAAGTCCAACCAGAAGAACTGGGGATACCTTCACAAAGGTTCAACTTCATTTAGGTCTTGGATTTGATTTTTTTAACCAGAGAAGAAGACATTCTAGGCTGTAAGATCAGCCTAAAAACAGCAATGGCATGAAAATGCCTGGCATACATTAAAAAGAGGGGGATTCCCTGCCTCCCAGTGCTAAGAGGGTCTTGAAGACTGCAGGGATTTGTACAGCAATGGGGACCAGGCAGAGATTACCTTGCTTTGACCTGTGTTCAGAGAGGATGGTGCTGGTACCTTCATCAGAGAGATAAGTGATTTAACCAATAGAAAATTTTTAAAAATTAGAGTTATAAAGATGCTAACAGAGGTCAGGAGAGCAATGTGTAGGCAAAGTGAGAATTTTAACAAAGAAATAGAAATGCTAAAAAGTACCGAAAAATCATACACTTTAATAATATAATAACTGAACTGAAAATTCAACAGAGGGGTTCAACTAGATCAAGTAGAAGAAAAGCTCAGTGAACTCAATGACAAGGCAGTGAAATTTGTACAATTAGAGGAACAAAAAAATGAACGAGAGTAAAGATATCTTAAGGGACTTATGGAACATCATGAAACAGACCAAGATACACATTCTAGAAGCTCTAAGAGGAGAAGGATGGGGCAGGGAGCTTATTCAAAGACATAATGGGGGAAAAGTTTCCTAATCTGGGGAAAGAAACAGACATCTACATCCAGAGGGTTTCAAATAAAAGGAATACAAAGAGAGAATACAAATAAAAGGACGCACACTGAGACACATTAGAATTAAATTGTCAAAAGTTAAAAACAAAGAAAGAATCTTCAGAACACCAAGAGGAAAGCGACTTGTTACACGTAAGACAGAATGATGCCCTGCCCCCAACCCTGCCACCCCGAAAGAGTATCAGTGGGTTTTTTAGCAGATAACTTGCAGGCCAAAAGGGAGTAGAATGATATATTTAAAGTGTCGAAAGAATAAAAACCTGCCAACCAAGAATACTTTACCCAGCAAAGCTGTCCTTCAGAACTGGGGAGATGAGTTTACAAGACAAACAAAAGTTGAAGGAATTTATTACCACTAGACCAGCTGTGCAAGAAATGTTAAAGGGGGATCTTCAATAAGAAACAAAAGTACACTAATTAGCGACATATAATATATGAAAGTATAAAATATATAGTTCAATTCAGAATTACTAATATTGTAACTGTGGGGGTTGTATTACCTTTAACTAGTATAAAGGTTAAAAGACAAGACAATTAAACACAACATAACTACAACAATTTGTTAATGAGTATATGATATAAAGTATGTAAATTGGGACATCAAAAACATATAATGAAGGGGGAGTATAAAAATGCAGAGTTTTTTATGCATTTGAAGTTGACTTGTTATTAGCTTAAAATAGACTGCTATAAATATATGATGTTTTATGTACACTTCATGGTAACTACAAAGAAAAAAATATACGGTAGATAAACAAAAGATAAAGAGCAAGGAATCAAAGCATACCACCAGAGAAAATCATCAAATCACACAGGAAGACAGAAGAAAGGAAGAAAGAAGGAAGTTACAAAACAGCCAAAAACCAGTGAACAAAACAGCAATAGCAAGTATATACTTATCAGTAATTACTTTTGGTAATAAAAAATTTTTAATTCTCCACATGAGTGGGAGAAGGAGAAGGGGGGAGAAGGTACAGAAAATAAGTAGCATAGACACTAGATAGAAAATAGATAGGGGGAGGGTAAGAATAGTAGGGGAAATACAGAATCTAAAGAACTTGAGACACGTGTTCATGAACTGAAGGGGGGAATGGTGGGGGAGGGGTGTGCAGGGTGAAGGGGAACAGGGGGGGAATAGAACAAATGTAATGGCATAATCAATAAAAAAATTTAAATTTTAATTACAGTTGACATAAAATATTATATAAGTTTCAGGTGTATGACATAACTTAAGAAGTGAAATTTGTGTAACTTGAGAAGTTACAAACAGAGAGCAGAATGCTGGTCATCAGCAGCTCTGACCGGCAGGGTGGGGAGAGTAGGGAGGGACGGGTGAAGGATGTGCAGCTTCAGTTATGAGATGAATGAGGTCCGAGGGTCTAATCACAGCATGATGACTGTAGCTGATAACACAGTACTGCATCACTGAAATTTGCTAAGAAAGTAGAACTTAAGTGTTCTCACCAAAAAATAAAGCTAAATATGATGGATGTCACTTAAGGACCTAAAGGTAGGCACACGCTCAAAATACATACATCTATAAGATCACAAGGACCACAGTGTTAGTACACTTTAAATATACTGCGATTTTGTTTGTCAGTTACACCTCAGTGAAGCTGGAGGAAACTCTTCATGATGCCCACGCGTGATGGCGGTCACCGCATCTCTGAACGGCAGCGCGTCTCAGCGGCACCCCTCGGAGGAAGGACGCGGTAAACTCTAACCTCACCCCTTCTCACCTCAGCCCCGCACACGGGTTTCCCGTGGAAGGAGCCCGTCAGTCCTCTGGGCGTCTGCAATCTAACCTCCAGGGCCCATCTCGAACTTCACCTCCTTAAAAAAAAAAAGCTTTACTGAGATAAAAATCACACACTACACAATCCACATGACTAAAGTATGTAATACAATGGCCTTCGGTGTATTTGCAGAGTTTGGCAACCATCTCCCCTAGCGCCAGGCAACTGCCAACCTACCTTCTGTCGCTGGAGATTCGCCCATTCTAGACATTTCATAGGAAGGCATCACATAGTATGTGGTCTTGTGTGTCTGGCTTCTCTCACTTAGCATGATGTTTCAAGATGCATCTACACCGTAACAGGAGTCAGAACTTCAGTCCCATTTATCGCTGAGTGTAGTTCACCGTTTGGACGGGCCACATTTTGTCTATCAGCAGTTGTTGGACATTTGGCTTGTTTTTACTTTGGGGCTCTTATGAATAACGCTGTTATGAACATTTCAAATAGCATCTCCTTTTGAGACCGTTTTTACTGTTTCACTAAATGTGACATTCCATTATGTGAGCCCCACATGCTCGGGGCCCCTTCTGGGAGGCTTAGCACCTCTTTACGCCACAGTCCTCCACAGGCTCTCACTGAGCCCTGGCTGGCGGCTCCGCCCCAGGAAGGGCTGTGTCTTGCTCCTCTTGCCTCCCAGCTCAGGGGCTGGAGCCTTCGGCAGGTGCTGCAGGACATCTCTCTGCGCCGGCACAGACCTTTGAGACAGGCAAGCTGAAACGTCTGTGTGGGAAAACCAGGTCGCAAGTTGCCCTATTAATTTTCTTTCCCCAATCAAGAAAAAGAGAATCATTTAAGTCATTCAAGTTGAAATCGTTGCCACCTGACGTAAAGTAGCAACACTATCAAAAGTACAGGCAATACGGTTTTTCCTCATTGTCTAGTGAAATGGGTCAAAATGCCAGGGATTGAAAGTAGTTGTCTCAGTATTAACAGAAGTCTATAACCCTCAGAAAAATACTGTTTTCAGGCTCAATTGAAATTTCCATGAAAACCTTTTAATGTTTAGGCTCTAAAGAAAATCCTCTTTTTCATATATGATGGGCATGACATGGTTGTGAATCATGAATTTGAAACAAGGGGTCACCCATCCTGGCCTCTGATGAGCATGCTGGAATACCCCTAGGTCCAGAAAACTGTATTTTATGGACTCCTGACTTTCCTGGAGCCTTGCTCCGAACCCCAGGGCCAAGTGACTCCCCCTGCCTCTCGGCCCTGCCCCCTCTGAAGGGCAGAGCAGTAGTCACCTGTAAGATGTACCCAAGGCTCTAGGTCAATGTGCAACCACCTTGGGGCTGATCTTTTTAGGGGGCCGGGGTCTCCTGTCCTTAGGAAGCCCCCCCACAGCAGTCTGTGTCCTCCGTTACCACTGGCCCTCTTGTCTCCCTCCTTCCTTTATGTGGTGTCGTCATCCTAAAATAACCTTCTCCTCCCACCCCCCCACCCAGAGTGCAGTGGACCGGGAGCAGATCTGGGGTCCGAGGACGTGGCTTTGGGTCTGACCCCCAGCCGGTTGTTAAACCTCCCCAGGTTTTGAACGTACACTGCAGCTCGGGACGCTATGCGCCTCACTGGGTCCCGGGGAAGCCCAGGATGGGTGCCGTGCAGGCACCGAGGGGGACAGCAGGCTGGGCGTCTCCTCTCCCTTTATTTCTAACGGACAGGCAATTGCCCTGCCACCTGAACGTCACTCAGTTTACACCCCCTTGCATTACTGACACTGGTCCTCGTGGGCAGTGACCCCTCCTGTTCTCACTTCTCCAATGCCCCCGCTCCCAGCAAAGGCCTGAATGCCCTCAGGATGATAAGAGACCTTGTGGAGAGCAGGTCATGGAAGGCTGTCTCCTCCTCTGTCTCGGGGAGGGGGGTCCCCACGTTCTGTGACCAAATGTGGAGACTATTCAGACATAAGGACCAAAGCCACCACCTGAATCCATTATTTTTACAGGATGTCAGTGTCTACACGTTCTCTCCTAGCCCTTCTTTCACAGGTAGGGGCAGAAATTCCTTAAATCATCTGTGTGCCATTTCGTGCTGCCTCGAGGAGAATGAAAATGATGAACACGCTGCGGTTCCCACGGAATAAATAGTTCATGTAAAGCCAAAGTAAGTAAGGTAATTTGCAATATGGATTTTTCCCTCCGAGTTATTAGAATGAACACAGTCAGCACATTCGGCCTCCATCTCCAGCGATACATTAAGTTAACAGCACTCACCTCCAGCCCAGCTCAGGTTGTGGATGGGGCCTCGAGTTTGCCTTGGCTGTTTGGGCTGACGGAAGAGGGAAGTGTAGGGGAGGTTCTGGATGTGTGTGCTCAGAGAGATGCTCACTGGCTGCCTGCTGCCTGCAGACACAGCCAGCTGAGACCAAGGAAGGGGGCGGTGCCTGCGGTGGTCACTGTGCCTCCCCCTCCGGCCTGTACCTCAGACCTGTGCTGCTGCCCCAGGGCCCCCGAGGGCCCTGCTGTGCCCTGCAGCTGTAGGTGTGAATCACACCCCTCACTCCCGGAAGAGGGACAACAGTGACTGGAAGCTAATGCTCACAGGACCTGGTCAGGCCTGTGACCAGAGACGTTCACCCACGTCAGCTGGGCTGGCCATCCAAGGGGGTGAGGGGCAAGGCGGGCAAGAAGGAAAACATGTGTTGCAGATTCTTAAACAAGAAACAGATGCATAATGTCCTGTCTGGCTCCAAAACAAAAGCCCGTCCACAGCTAGTTCTGTAAGATAAAAGGGGCCCAAAGACTGTGAGGGGTGGGCAAGGCCCTGGGTGCCGCCTCTCTCTGGGCAGCTCGCCCATCAGTCTCTGCATTCTCCGTCTCTCTAAGTGGGTAAGTCTGGGCTCTGATCCCGCTGTGTTTATCTCAGCACTCCCCACCGTCTAGCATTATTGTATGCTGTGATAACATTTTGGTTCCATCAGCCAGGCACTATGAGCTTCCCTTTGCTTTCACTGAAATCATGCAAGGGTGCGTACACAGCATCACACACATCACTGTGGCAAAGCCAGCGGTAACTCAGAGGGTTCAGGTTTGAGGTATCCTATGTCCTAAATGAGTCAGGAAGCTCCCTTGCAGCTCCCAGGCCTGGGTAGGTCTTGCTAAAAACCCTGTCCTCAGGATCTGAAGACATGAAGGCACTCTACAAGCAAGAATATTCTAGTGTCTTTGGATTTTAGTGCCTATGCTGCCAAAAGCGCCCCTTCCCCTTGCACTGCATAATCCAGTCTCACAGCTATTTGGTCTACATCCTGAGCCTCCCGGTCTCTTGTGCAATAGTTCACAAGGGCGACTCCAGCACCTTCACATCATGTACTGAAGTGCACCATTGCGCCCGACATTCAGGAAGCCTCCTTGGCACTAGGAGGACTGACGGGCTCTGGCTATCTTTGTTAGGGATGGAACCCCAGTCATGAGTGACATCCCCAAGTCCATACATTCTCTCCATTTTAAGCCGCTAATGCCTCAATCCTCATCCTGTATGCCAAGAGCTCCTCCCATCCCTGTCCCCCCAGCACCTGCCAGCTTCTGAATTCCTTTGGTAGACAAGCCGCCTTCTTCAGAAGCACAGACTATGCTCCCCACGTGGGCTAGGGTAGACATGGATACCTACAGACAGAGTATCCAGGCAGGAGTAAAGAGGAGTAAAGGCCTCGAGTGGGGGTGGGCCTGCCTGGTGGAGAAGTGCAGGGTGGTCAGGAAGGGGTGGGCAGTCAGCCAGAGGGCTGGTGGGGCCCTACCTGCCCTCCTGCTTTATGGGGGGGAGGGGTGTGGAAGGAGAAGGGTGGGAAGCGCTTGAGGGTTTTGAGCAGGGGAGCAGGTGATGTTCTGATTGTGTCTGAATCGTGTACACACTTGCGTTTGTGAACCCATTTCTCAACACGGTTCCATTTGGTATTCATAGGACTGTCACCCAGCAGATGCAATGTTGAAGTTACTATCCGATCACTTACAGACAACGCTGGGACTTTGGTCTTTGAGGTGACAGGGCTGATGTTGGAGGATTCAGGCACAGGTAAGCTTCCACACTGAGGCTCATGCACGGGACTCCGGCCTCTCTTCAGTTCTCACCCCAGGCCGGCGGCGCCTCAGCTGTGCCCGTCCCGCACAGTGAGTCTGGCACTGAGTTTCACTCGTAAACCACGCCATTGACAAGCATGGCCATAAAACTTCATTGTTCCTGATGGCAGTAGTCTGCTTTTTTAACCTTTGGCTTCCTTTCTTTTCCTGGTACTTTTATACATCTGGTTCTGGTAAAATAAAAAGATTCACTCCATTTACAACTGTACTTTCTGCTCAGGCTGGGGCTTCCCCCCACCCCCCACTTCCAGCTCAGGCAGGACAGTGCCCACCAGGGTTAGGGCCCCCCTGGGTCCAGGCAGGATGCTACCCGAAGACCACTGCTTAGAAGGGGTGGCCCAGCACGTGGTGCTGTCTCACGGTTCCCTGGTGTGCCCTGGGTCTGCGTCCTCTACCTATCAATACTGTTTCCATCCTCCACTCTCTCTAACAAGCACCCCCCCTCTACCTATCAATACTGTTTCCATCCTCCACTGCGTCTGCTTGTGTTGCAGCAGGATGCAAGGTTTTCAATATGTAGGAAGCCCCTTACTGCAAGTGCTCCCCAAAATTTGTCTGTGGAAAGAGGAAGGAAGGTGCAGAAAGACGAGGGGCCCCTGCAAGGCCCACAGGGGAAGCAGCTCAGTGGAGCTAAGAAAGGGAGAGAGAAGTGGAACAAAGCCTCCTGTCCCTCGATGAGGGACTTCCCATGGGTCCCTTACTTGCCAGAGAGCACGTCCTTCCTTCCTGACCACACGGAGAGGGCTGGGCAGAGCTTGGCGTCCCTCAGGCCAGGTCTCGGGCTGTTCTTCAAGTCTCGTTGTGCAACAGGAAACCTCACAGTCAGACAGACACCAGCTGTGGCCCACACAGATTCTTAGAGACGCAACTGTGGAGCTCAGGCCCATGGCCAAACACCACCCTGACCGCAGCAAGCCTCGCTGTGAGCGGTGACTTCTCCAAAGAGGAAAGGGACGTCCTGCTATCCCCTCAGAAGCATAATTTGCCCAAGTTGCCACTGACCTACATGACTCCAGAGCTGTATGGCCTTGTGGGTGTAAATGGACAGTGCGCTCTGGCACACAAACACCCACACAGTACACACACTACTCCACGCATGCACGCTCATGTACCACCACAGGCACGCACATAATCTAAACGCACCCCCCATAGGACACACCATACTAAGTATTCCACACACTCCACCACATACATGCAAACATGCATGTCTAAAAACATGATAGAAAAGGAAAACATTAAAATATTCAGATTTACCAGTGTTCAAGGAAATACAAACTTGTAAAAATATGAAATTGGCCACACTAAACAAAATGCTACCCTGTGTGTTGAAAAGAAGACTCCGCAGCGTCAGACTGGCTGGGTTAAGTGTCAGCTCTGAATGAGGTGGCAGCAGGGTCCCCTCTAGCTCCTCCGTGATGTGAGGACAACAGCACCTACTGTAGAGTGGTGGTCATGAGAATTTAATAGGTGAAAATACGTGATGTTCTTAGAGCAGGGATGGCCACTCGGGAGAACTAATGCACGTTCCATCACCACGGCCATTCCATGACTGCAGGGAGTGACAGAATGAGTCCTCTTGTGGCTGTGGGTGGGAAGGTGATTTGATAAGACCCTTATCAAACCCTTACACACTGCCATCCTATACCACTCAGGAACCCCTCTATCCTGAGGACACAGAGAGAAAAGGGGTCACAGACTCATGTGTAAGCATGTTCACTGCAGCATTATTAATAGTGAAAGAAAGAAAAAATGGAAACAGTGTAATTTCTAGACCAGCAGGTCAGTCATGGGGCTACCCGCCTGGCTGCTCAAGCGAGAAGCCTTGAAGACACCCTTCGGTCCTCCCTCACACGCAGTTAACAGCCAAGTCCTGTTCCTCCCACCTCCAGTCCGACCACTTCCTGCGGCGCACAGCCGGTGGTGCTCTGCCAGAGCAGTACTTCCTCAGGGAGGCTGCTCCACCCCTGTCCCGCTGACAGCGTGATGGCCTGTCCCCTCCTGTCGCACTCACCACTTTTGTGATGACCGATTCCTGCTTCTGCCCCTTCCACCAGGTGACGATGAGCCCCGGGGAGCCAGACGCTGCCTTTCTTATTTACTTTTGGACTCCCAAAGCCTGCAGCAGCACCTGGCACACATGACGATTCCGGACTGAGGACATCACGTAGAAGAAGGGATGTGATTCGGCCCTAAAGCCATCTTCTCAACAAAGCCAAGCAGCAAAATGCTGCACAGTACTACATGTGCAGAATGTCCGCACACTGTCTATACAGAGGTAACATTATTATCCACAAATAAATGTCTAACGACCCAGACAATAGGCACTAAATCATCAGCAGTGGCCATTTCCATTTCCATTCGCATGTATTTTTCAGTTATTTGACAATACACACCTATTTTTCTTTGTAACCGTGAAAAGAATGGATAAAGATAGTACAGCAAAGATCTAGGACTTTTGAAATGAAGCATAATCTGCGTGCACAATCTGGATGGTTGAGGCATCTATGAAATTCGCACGTTTGACCTTGCCTGAGACATTGTCTGTTACTGCGGTCATTTCCAGAGCAGCTCCACACAGCGGCTGATGATTCCTCTAATAGACGGGCCCTGCCTTCCTCGTGGGGACCCATCAGGCCAAGTGCAGTGGAGATGACAGCTGGTGGTTTCCGAAAGATAACATATACATTTTTTCTTTTTCCTGAAAGAAAAAGTTCAGAGTGAAATGGCCTTTTTTATTTTATAAGTCACTGTACACATTCGAGGGAATGTTGTCGAGGCTCTTCCTGGAGGACTTAATCCTCTGTCCCCAGAGCAGCTCCCTTTACTGTCCACACCAACTGTCCAAAGGTGTCGATGTGACAGGCCCCACAGCGGGGGGGGGGGGTCGTCTCCGAGTGCCTCCAGGCCAGGTCTCCTGGGACTTGGGGACACGTGGGGGCCCTCGGATGGATCTAGGGAGGTTGGGACCTAGTGGAAGTGGTGTCTGTAGAACTTGGGACAGTGCTTTCAAACCCGGATCTGAACCCTAGTTTTTTGGGATTTCTTCTACAGTCTGGATTCTCAGCACACCAGTTTCCCGGCGGACAAGTTGGAGTGGTTATGCATCTCTGTGAGACAGTTCTGAGGACAAGTGAAATTCACAGCATGGCCATTGACAGCACGTGTGGTCAAGCGGGTTTCTAGCCTTCAGTGCTTCTGCGCAGAGAGACCACCGTGGCCTATTCATGGAGTCTGTGGCTGGGTTTAGGGAGTGATCCTGGAAGGTCACCTCAGCTCTCACTCCCACCCGCCTGTGACCCAGTGCTCTAACTCCATCTAACCACCTAAGAAGTGGGCCACTGGAACGTTGTTATTCTGACCTTCGATCACAGGTCTCTTTTAAGCAGATCACCAAGTGAGGACAGGGGAAAGAAGTAAGGCTGTTCAGCCCAGAGAAGAGTAGGAAAAGGTCTGGATGTAGAACAGAAAAACTGTCATCTACATGAAGGGACAAACTTGTTTCATATGGCCTTCCAGGACAGCACTGCAGCCAGGGCTGGCAGTTCTAAAAAAAAAGTCAGATTTCTGCTTCACTGAAAAGAACATTCTAAGAACAAAAAGTGACCCAAAAGTCTGCCTTACAAGACAGCACTGAGTCACCTGTGACTGAATATCTCAGTAGTGCTGACTGATCACAGGACAGGAAGAGGGGATTCCTGTGTAGAAACTAGACAGATTGCCTTGAGTAGTCATCCTAACTCCGGGGACCAAGGTTTCTGCTAAATGACCTTTTTTTTTTTGTCTTTTCTTCTAAAACTGCTTGAAAACAATTCATAAAATAAAGGCTTACTTCTCTTAAAAAAAAAAAGAAAACAATTCATAATTTCTCCTTGACACCATTTTATCCAGACACAGTCAGAACTGCAACTGCTAAAGGTCTCCATCCCTCCTCACCCCAGGGGTGGAACTTGGTCTCAGGACTGTCTATCTATGCACTGCAGGACAAACCCAGGCCGTGGGTCCTGCCTTCCCAGAACGAAATCCAAACTCAAGTTCCCAGCCTCCCTTGCAGGAAGGATGAAGTCTTGATCCTTTAAAGATTCCCATTCAAGACATGAATTTGGAAGTGTAAACTGAAGGGAAAGTGGGGTTGAGAGGGGGAAGTGGGGAAGGGAGGAAAGCTTGCTTGCTGCCTCCGAACTTTCTGGAGGGTTTTGGGTGATGTCAGAGACATCGGCCTTCAGTGGTGGCGGCTGCTGCCCAGATGAAGCCAAGCCAAACCCTGGGACTGAAATTGCATAAGTTTTAGCAGAGGTGGCACATGCAGTCAAGCGGGTTTCTGGCCTTCAGTGCTTCTGCGTAGCAAGACTGTCACAGCCTACTCATGGAGTCTGTGGCTAGTTTTAGGGAGTGATCCTCGAAGGTCACCTCAGCTCTCACTCCCACCCACCTGTGACTTAGTACTCCATGTAACCACCTAAGAGGATGGCCAGAGGCTCATTGGAGCCATGTTCTCTTAGTCCTCAGGCACACATAGAACGGGATTGCCTGTCCCAACTTCCCTTGGGTTTGATCACCCAACTGGGTTCTGTCCACTGGTGATGGATTGCAGGTCATCTTCCCTCAATCCTCTGGTGCTGTTTCATCTCCCAGCAGGATCCAATGGAAGACAAGAACCCTAGAGGATGGTAGAGGCACTAGCAGCAAGGAGTGTGGGTCCTCGAATAGCCAACTGGATTGTGCTGTGAATGGGAAATGAGCCTCTTATTGTTTAAGTTACTTTGGGGGTTGATATGGGGTTGATAGAGGGTTAGCCCACCCTGACTAATACACTTAATAAATCCATTTTCTGCTGAACCAGCCAAAGGATATTTTATTTGTGAAGACTAAGAGCTCTGAGTGTTTCACATCCCTACTTGATGCGCCCTCACGAGGCCTGATTAGGTAGTCACATCTGCAGGTAGCTCTGGTTCCCTCGGAACAGGAGGCATTGGGCTTGACTTGCTGTGTATTACCTGCCCTGCTGAGTGGGCTCCAACTCCCAGCAACCCTCTGAATGGGGATGTCCACAGTGCCCTGTCCTGTAGACTCATGCTATGGCTTTTTTATGGAGTCAATCCATCTCGTATTTGGTCTTCCTCTCTTCTTGACTTGGACCGCTTCTCTAATGCAGGACAGAAGGGGTGCAGCTGACGCCCAGCAGTCACCCTCCTTCCTCAGAACCAGGCCACAGAAGTCGGTTCAAGGGAGAGTCAGCTTCTCCTCTTCTCCAGTCACTGCAAGGCTATGGCTTCACTCCCGACTCCGAGCTAGGAACTGAGGACAGTCAGGCCTGCTCTTCTGGGTGCCCCCGAACTCCATAGAGGGAGTTCTGCCCTTCCTCTTTACCACAAGGGGAAGCCAGCTCTGAGTCAGGAGCCCAGAGAGCTGTGTCCGAGAAAACTACCTCGCACCCAGTACAATCAGCTCTGAGTCAGTGCAGCAAGGAACCTTTGGCATCTCTGGCCTGTTTGCCCCGTAAGTACCCCACCCGCAGGGCAGGGCCAGTGGCAGTCAGGTCTGTATCACAGGACTGGCTGCCCTCACAACGGATTGGATCAAGACTACGCACGTGGTCCTAGCTGGGCCAATCCCATATGTTGTTTCTGAAATGTGGGCAGTTTGGAGCGGGCTGATGCTAGCCCCTCTGCTGCTCAGGGTAGCTGGCAACTGATGAAGGGTGGGCGGGGCCGTGTAGCAGGCCAGGTAGACTGAGGAACGGGCCTACAGGAAGCCAGTCGGCCAACAAAAGTAAACCAGCAGAAAAAAGAAAAGGTGAGTGAAGGCGAAAGGAACGTTCTGGGCCCAGCTGCATCCCAGGCTGTGGGTCCACAAGCAATAAATTTTCTCTAATTCGCTGAAGCTCATTCAAGTTAGTTTCTAAAATCTAAAATGAAAGGGTCTTAACTGATACAGGAAGAAGTAGAAAATGTTAACCCCACAGATCGCCATCTCATGGAAACTAGGCACCTCCTGGCTTGTCGTGAACTGGGAAACCTAAAAGTACTCAGCCAGGAAAGCTATGGAGGTTGGCTAGACCTCCTCAGACTTATTTGTAAGTGGAAAGGACACGGGCCACTACCTTTTTTCTCCAGTCCAACCACCTCATGTCCAGCAGGGCCATTGCAGAGAGGTGGGCTGACTTACCCAGGTCCCACGGGCAGCCCGCGCTGGGTCCCTGATCTTGGTCTCATCTTCCCTGCTGCCAGGACAAGTACAACCCCAAACCTTAAGTCTCCTTTAGAACGCACGTCCCTTTCCTGCCCTGGGACGCTGTGGCCAGGCAGGAGCCATCAGGATCAGCACACACGTGTTGCTAGGCTGGCCAGAAATGACGCGGCTAATTCCCTCGCCCCGCTGGTCCGGGCGCTGAGACGCCGCGCTCCCTGCGCACTTGTGCGCGCTCCGGCGGCTGCCGGAGCAGCTGCAGACACCGGCTGCCAGGCTCGGCGCCCACTCCCCACTCACCCCTGCGCGGCGGGGTGGGCCCAGCCAGCCGGGCCTTTCAGAGTTAATTAGCTCTCATGCATATGGATACCACCGCGGTTGAACACAGTGGAGAGGTCGTAACCTGACCTCGGGAGGCGTGCGGGGAGAAAAGACTACTTTCTCAGCTCCGTCCCTAATTGAAAGAGGAGGGGTCCCGCCAGCGCCGTGGGTGTGACGGCCACCGCCCCATTTTCTCCTACAGAAGCTGCACCGAGCGTGCTGGGCGCCTCGCCCGCGTTAGCAGTCCTCCTAATGACCCGCGGGTCGGTGCAGGCGGCCCAGCCTGCGTCCCAGTGCGCTGTCGCTGTAATGCTATCTGCACTGGGAATTTTTATTCCGCAGCTTTCCTTTTCCGTGATGGTTTTCATTTCCTGTCTTTCAGAGCTGGAAACATTTATGGAATATCACATGGTTTTCGTTTACACAGGAAGTCAGCTGCAGTGCTGAGGAGATACCGACGGACTTTCTGTTTGTTTTTTAGGGCCCCCGCTCCAACCCCCGCCCAAAGACAGACAGCTTGCAGCGTTTTGTTTTGAAATACTTTTCCTTTTTGATCTAAAGTCACGGTTCTCCGAAGTGTTCTCTGATTACACACAGAAAGCAGCAGTTTATTTCTGACACGTGGTAATCACTTTATGTGAAGAAAGCTCTGCGAGAAGAGATGCTTTTGCTTTCCCCGGAGCGAAGGAGGGAGCCCGGAGGCGTGAGCGAAGAGCCTCCAGGGCGGCCGCGGAGAGGTTGAGCAGCCGGCCCGGTCTCTGCGCGGCCCAGGCCGCCTGAGAAGCTCGGTTCACAGCCTCCCGGAAACAGGGTCCTTATTGCCCAATAACCTGCTAGGACCACTCTGCTTAAACCTGCACAGAGCAGTGTCTTCTCCAGCACCCCTACACACATATCCAAAGGACCGCAATATGTGTCGCTTCTCTACCAACCCCCAACCCATCACCCCAGCCATTAAGAGAATCTCAAGGCTTTATAACAGAGATGGAGAAGGATGTGAAAGAATTTGCAATTGGTTCTTTAAGCTCCGCCCTCCGGTCCCCGCTGAGTTAGGAGCTCCCGGCTGGGAGCGCCTACAAAGACGGGACTCTAGTTACCCTGTCTCCTTCCCCAGTGTGGTTGCTTCCCTGCACCCTTGTTCTTAGGGCAACCGACCACCCTTGGCAATAGCGCCACCTCGTGGCCAGAACACCTCTCCAAGCATTTCTTTATCTCCCTTTTCCAGGAGTGTGAACAGTCCCTGTGGTCCAATGGAGACTGCCTTTAAAAGCCAGGGTGTTCAGAATTAATTCAAGGCTTCAGAGGAGGGCCCACCGAGAGTGGAAGTGGTTCCCCCTCCCTTTCTTCTTGTCCCCGAATGAGCTGAAAGCACAGAGGACTAGAGGCTCTCCTTTCCTGCATTCCACAACAACATACCAGTTTCTTTGATTTAAAGCTAAGCCCTAATAGAACGGAAAATGTCCTTTAAGAGATAGAATTTAGGCACCTTTTAAAGGGTGAACCAGTTTATTGCCTTTTCTCCAGGGTAACTGGGCCCCTAGAGAGGGCTGAGACACAGAGGCAGGGGGCCCACCCCGAGGTTCGGGAGGGAGAAAGCCAGGCCTGCAGAGGCCATACTGCAAGGGCAGGGGTCACCCCCATGCTGAGATGAGGAGGTGGTGAGGTGCTGGCTCTGGGAGGCAGGGTAGGACAGTCCTGTGCCCATTTCAGGGGTGGGCAGGGAGCCCTCAAAGAACATCAAGTCCCTGATAGGCCCCAGGCCCCAGGTGTCCCTGGCAGCTGAGACTCATTTAATCAAGACTTTCTGGCAGCCTGGCCATGACCGTCTTCTCTCCCCCCTTTCCCCCAGCCCGTAAAGCCAACAGCCATCTGTGTGAACACGAGTCCTGCGTTTTTATGGGCTGCCTACTGGCGGCTACAGGACAAGAGGGGGACAAAGGCTGATTGCTGCAGCCCTTTCAGTCTCCCAATATTAAACTGTGTAACGTGACCCGTTCTCGGAAACCAAATATTTGCAAAGACACCCAGAAGCCACCTGGCTACTAAATCTCTTGATGAGGCGGGCTGTTGGTGCTGTAAAAATCCCACCTGGGGATTTGCTCAGCTTCTGAGGGGTCAGCGGGCAAAGCTCCCTTCCACTGGGCAGGGAAGCCTGGCCTCCACTGCACAGGCAGGCCTGGATTGGTGTGCGCAGGCGGAGCCTCATCGGGGCCTGGGGGCTGCCTCCGTGCAGGGGGTGGCTCTGGTCTGTCTGAGGCTGTTTTCCTCCCAGGAAACTGCATGTACCTCCTGTCGCTCGTTACCTAACTGAGGAACTATTTGAGTCAGCATGGTGCTTCTATGAGGTTCTTCAGCTCCAAATGAGCAGTCCACTCCATGGCGTACCAACTGATTTGGCAGGTTCTGAGAGGCGTCTTCTCACCCTCTCTTTCTCCCACCCAGCACTCTTCTCTGGGAGAATGGAGTTCACTGGTTTTGAGGGGCGGGCAGTCACAAACTTAATTACTCTATATTCCAACCTCTGCTGCCTGTTGGGTGTGCGGGTGGTAGTCCCCGGCACATCACGATGGCTCCAGAGTGGCATACCTTGTCTCTGCTCAAGACTCCTCCTGGTTCCTGTGGCTCCACCCCCTAGAAAACGGGAGGATTTGCTGAGGGAAGAAGTTTTGAGAGAAAAAATCGGATGCCCAACCCTGGCTGAGGCTCACCCAGACAGCACTGTCTCTCCTAGAGACGCTGGGCCCCCAACAGGTGAGTGGTGGTGCAGGCAGGCCTGGACCTTGGACCTTACCATCCTGCCATCCTGGACTCAGCATTGTACTCATTCCTGTTCCATTTACATAAAAAAAAAAAAGCCTTCTGGTAATATGCCAGACTGAGATTACATAATGATGTTGTTTAGCAGCAACTGTGTCATTCCATGCTGTTGACAGTAAAATAAATTAACGTAATAAACATAATTTGCTCAAAAACAGCTAAGGAAAAGCAGATGGTTAGCACATTCCAGCAGGACCTGTTGGTCTAAGTTTGCACGGATGTTTAGATGGTGTGCTGCCTGCAACAGATGCTCGCCTGAGTCTTCAGGTGACAGGCACGGGCAACTCAGGGTGGCCTGGGGGAGGGCTGGGCCCCCTTGGGGTGTGGGCGTCCAGTGCAGGGCCCTTCCCTGGATGAGGGGGGTGTGCAGCAGCCACTTGCCTAGGTCCCGGCCAGGGCTGGCCCAGGATGGGAGCCCCGAGCTGCCTTCCCCTGCCTTCCACAGGGCTGAGCCCATGTCCTCTCAGCACCTGGGCCATTAGCATGCACAGCCCATCCCTGCCCAGCAGCTGTCCTTTGTGTTCCCAGAACAAGCCAGCTTTCTTCCTGGGAGCATGGCGCTCCAGCTTCTGCCCACGAGCTTCCCTGTGGCTTCGAGGGCCGGTGGGCCTCCTCTGGGTACTCCAAGTGGGTGCTGCAAGCCCCTAAAAGAGAAGAAAAAGTTATCTTTGCAGAAGGAGGCCCTGGCTGCCCCGTGCCTGGGAAGCAGGGCAAAGAGGAGGAAGGCCTCTTTCCTCCCCAAGTTGAAGGGGATGGGCTTCAAGTCATTGCCATTTCAGCTCTTAATGGCCAGGACTTGCTTCTTCCTGTATGCTACCTGCAACTGATGCTCACCTGGTCCCCAGGTGATGGCACAGCGACTCAGCATGACCTGGGGGAGGGATGCCAGGCCTGTCACTGAAAAGGGGGTGCTTACCAGCATTGAGACAGGAGCACACAGGTTCTAGAAGTGCTTGTACAAAACCCGAGGGTTGGTCCCGGAGACTTTGGAGATGGTTCAGAAATTTCTGACGGGAGAATTTGGAGTAGGAGTCCCAGATGTCTATGGAATAACCAGGAAGACAAATGCCTGGTGTGGGACAGCTCTCCTGCTTGCTGCATCCCAGTGACACTGCACTGGGAACCTGTCTGAGTCCGTCTCCTCATTTCCTAAGTGGAATTGTTGTGAAGACAGGGTATGACTGTCCGGGGCTTAATACCATGCCCTGCCTGTGCCACTTGCCCACTGAATGGCCAAAGTTGTGAATCTCAACTGCAATATCCAAGACTGTTTCATGGGAAAGGCAGCAATATCTAAGACTGCAATATCCAAGAGTGTTTCCTGGGTCCAGAGGATAACTTGAACCTTGTCCTGACTGGCTTCCTGCTCCATCCTCATCCTCCACCCATAGCTCTGTTCTTCCCCTCAAACACCTGCTCAGCCAGGCCAGGCTCTCTGCAGAGCAAAGGTACGAAGGGGTTTGAAGGCTCAGAAGGAGACACTGTGAAGAATAAAGGGGTAAAGGAGCAGGAAGGGTCAGGGAGAAGCTTCAGACCAGGAAACTGGAGCGGGGGTGGAGGAGTGCAGTGCTAGCAAGTGCCACTTTAGATAGCCTGTGCCTGCCCAGCGGGGAGTTCTGCCTACCCCTGTCCTGGTCAGTCCTGGGGCAGGGGTGTAGCCTCAGGTCCCAGGTGGATCTGGGTGGTATTGCAGCTAGAAGCAGTCAGTCAGTCGGCTGATTGCTCTCCTCCCAGCAGGTTCTCTCCTGAAGGGAAGTCGGTGGTGCCCCCCCAGGTCACCCCAGTGCAATGGGTTCCCTTGCACTTGGAGAGGTATGCCCTACTCTGCAAGGCCCTGCTTACCTTGCCGAACTCATCTCCGCCCCACCCACCCCAGCCACTTTACTTTCCAGATCCTCAAAGGAGCCAAACTTCACCCAGTGTTCTGGCTTTTAGGACTGCTTAGAACACACTGGCTTCCTCATCTGCCTCTGCTGGATTCTTCTTGCAATTCAGACCTCAGTTCCAATGCCAGCCAGCTTTCCTGACCTTCTACTCTTAAAGCAGCCCCACCCCACTCTTCACTGTCCGCACAGCATCTACTTTCAGTCTTGCACAGCCCTCGTCACTGTCTGCATTTGGAGTTTCCTCTGCTTCTTGCTTAT